TTAACTGAATGTGGTGTTAACTGAGTGGGGTCTTAACTGAATGTGCTGTTAGCTGAGTGGCATGTTAAATGAATGGGATGTTAACTGAATGTGGTGTTAGCTGAGTGGGGTGTTAACTGAATGTGGTAGTAGCTGAATGGGGTGCTAAATGAATGGGATGATAGCTGAATGTGGTCTTAACTAACGGGCGTTAACTGAAAGTATTATGACAATCATTTCACAACATGCCACTTATGGTCCCAATCATTTCACAACATGCCACTTATGGTCCCAATCATTTCACACCATGCCACTTATCGTCCAAATCATTTCACACCATGCCACTTATCGTCCCAATCATTTCACACCATGTCACTTATCGTCCCAATCATTTTATACCATTCCACTTATTGCCCCAATCATTTCACACCATTCCACTTATTGCCCCAATCATTTCACACCATTCCACTTATTGCCCCAATCATTTCACATTTCACTCCATGGGGCATCACACATTTCACCTTAACTAATAACAATGATTTAACAATGTATGTCTGTTTGTCTTAATCAGGGCTCTCAAACTATCGGCCCGCGGGCCATTTGCGGCCCGCAAGACGATATTTTGCGGCCCGCTACATGACAGCATAGTTTAGTTGTAATGCGGCATTTTAACATTTTAAATGTTACCTTTAATAATTACGATCAGACATGACGCGCCTTTACACGATAGAAGATGATCTAAATAGGACGGCGTTCAAATGGCGTGGAGGAAATAGTGACACAAGAGAACTAGGGAAAAGAATATGCCACTTTCTTATGAGGCTGGGGCACCAATATAATATAATATAATACAATATGATAAAATATAATAATATAATAATATAATAATATATAATATTATAATATAATAATATAATAATATAATAATATAATAATATAATAATATAATAATATAATAATATAATAATATAATAATATAATAATATAATAATATAATAATATAATAATATAATAATATAATAATATAATAATATAATAATATAATAATATAATAATATAATAATATAATAATGTAATAATATAATAATATAATAATATAATAATGTAAGATGTTATAAGCAAATATAATATTACATGTGCTTAGATATAGAATGTAAGATGATGTAGTGAAAGAATGTTACATTTGCTTATATATATAGAATGTAAGGTGTTACATAATGTTACATGTCCTAAGGGGCTTAGCTCAAGAAAGTATCTTGTGTTTGGGTACAGGTTTGTAAAGTATTTACTACACTGAAACCCTGAGTCGTGTGAGTGAAAGCTTCGATGAGTAACTCCTGACCAGGGTACGTGATTTAAGTGAAAGCGAACTCGCTTCCGATTCACAAGTTCAAGGTCGACCACGTAGCCACCCACATCTTGTCCGGAGACAGGTCCGCCTCAGCTGAGCTGCTCGTTGACTGGCACGGTAGGTGACTCACCCAGTTGGGTACTACTTAAAATAAATAAATCCATTTTTGTGTGTGCCGAGGAGCGGTTCCATTTATTCTTCATGCGTGCGGGTTTGTTCTTTATCTTCTGAATTAACATGTAAACCCAACTCAATGAAGCCATCTAGAAAAAAAAAAGTATTTCTATAAATAAAGTGTAAGTGGACTATAATTAAATAAGTCATATATAAAATTTGATTCTTAATTTTTTAAAAATACACCTCGTTCGGCAAATTACAGCCCATGGGCTACATACGCTTTTTCTAAGGGGTCCGCGAGCTAAGGTCTAAACACTTTTAATTAGCTTTCACGACTTAACTTCAGCAATTTAAGCTTTTGCAGTAAATAAAAATGACATAATAACATTTCAATTTCTAGAAAGTAATTATTTTACAAACAATGTAAAACCAGCGATACCTGGTGGTAATAACAATTCCCGGATGGTTCTCTGAGTTGATAGGGAGCGCAAACTGGAATTATTGTAACATATATTACGCAACTCTTCCCGTATTTTACATACCCAACATGGCTGCGCTGGCATACTTAGTAAAGACATAAGCACATTACACCTTGACAAGTTAAAACATAGTTTAATTACAGGAACTGATCAAACTAATTTTCTCCCTCTTTCTTATGTTTTTCTGTAAATGGAAATCTCAAAGGCCTTATTTGACCTCATTCCTTTGTGTGTTAAACCTAGTCAAGTCACACCTCCTTATACCAATATCTGTGTGTAACACGAAGTCAAGTAACACTCTCTTACACCAATCTCTGTGTGTCACACGTAGTCAAGTATCACCTCCTTACACAAATGTATGTGTGCCACACGTAGTTAAGTATCACCTCCTTATACAAATCTCTGTGTGTCGAACGTAGTCAAGTCACACCTCATCACACCAATCTCTGTGTGTCACACGTAGTCAAGTCACACCTCATGACACCAATCTCTGTGTGTCACACGTAGTCAAGTCACACCTCATGACACCAATCTCTGTGTGTCACACGTAGTCAAGTCACACCTCATGACGCCAATCTCTGTGTGTCACACGTAGTCAAGTCACACCTCATCACACCAATCTCTGTGTGTCACACGTAGTCAAGTCACACCTCATGACACCAATCTCTGTGTGTCACACGTAGTCAAGTCACACCTCATTACGCCAATCTCTGTGTGTCACACGTAGTCAAGTCACACCTCATTACGCCAATCTCTGTGTGTCACACGTAGTCAAGTCACACCTCATGACAATAATCTCTGTGTGTCACACGTAGTCAAGTCACACCTCATGACACCAATCTCTGTGTGTCACACGTAGTCTGGTCATACCTCATGACACCAACCTCTGTGTGTCACACGTAGTCTAGCCATACCTCATGACACCAACCTCTGTGTGTCACACGTAGTCTAGTCATACCTCATGACACCAACCTATGTGCGTCACACGTAGTCTAGTCATACCTCATTACACCAACCTCTGTGTGCCACACGTAGTCTAGTCATACCTCATGACACCAACCTCTGTGTGTCACACGTAGTCTAGTCATACCTCATGACACCAAACATGCGCCCCATCTACCCCCTGGGGCAATCACCCCCACCCCCCACACTCCACCCCTTATGACGCTGCGATGTTAAAACAACACCTACATCCTATAAAGACGGCTTATCCCAAAAAATATTTCCACCCTAACAAGGAAATATAAAGTATGCTAACGATTTTACTATCATGACGTCATTAAGGGCTAATACTTTAATGGACGAGTCCAGACATACGGCTCATGGGGCTGAATATAATGACTTAAATTATTTCCCGCATTGTGACCCGAGGAGGCATGGTATTTTGTGGCACACCAGAGTTCTCATCTCAGTTGAACGTGTCGCGTTCAAGTTCTCCTTTGTAAAACTGATTGAGGCAGAGATCAAAGTTTAACCTTTTTTTTTTTAAGCAAGACTCATCAGGTTCGTAATGTTCACTAAGTCTATTCGGGCTTGATGAGGAGTTCTGCAAATCTTGGTAAATCTTCGGCGTCAGACTTCAATGTGCTAGGCAACAAGACTAATTTTATCATGTTACCAACAGAGTGAACACTATAGAAGACGGTATGTTGATGAATTGTTGAGACGAACTTTACACAGGCGGGCACAAATGTGTACCAGTGCATCCACCTCTGTCAGTTTCCAAAGAAGGTAAGTGGAGATTCATGCGAATATTAACGCTATTTTAGAAATCAACCGAATTTTTTTTTTCGGTTAACAGACGTCCACAAGTGGCCTTCTTAACGTGAAGAAACAAAAACAGCACACGCCCACACCCACACACACCTACACACACTCACACACACACACCCACACCCCCTTACCCCCCCCCCCCACCCCCACACACACACACTTACACACGCGCACGCTAAAGCACTCTCACAAAAAAGAAAGAAAGAAGCGTTAAACAGCACCGAAAATATTAATGCCCCCCCAAAAAACAAAAAAAATACAAAACAAAAACAAACAAACAAAACAAACAAACCAACCAAGCAAATAAAAAACAACAACAACAACAACAACAACAACAACAACACATCCATTTTCAAAGACGTAACTGTCCACTTTTTGATGTATAGATATGCATTACAAGAAGTGTCTCATTTTATTGTGTCGCTTGAATTTTTTCAGGGTTGTTGGACACTACTTTCAAGAATCGTACTATTGATAGCGACCATACATTTGTATGAGTCTGGTTTTACTTGTGGCTTGTTGGCGTAAGGCAAATATAGCAAGTCTGTGTAGTAAGCAGGGTTTCTTTCAGCTCTATCTCCGGGAGGACTTCCCCCCCCCGCCCCCCGGGGAAAGGCAAGTGCCCCCCGGAGCAAAAATATGTCCAACAATAAATCAACTGGTTCTGCTGGCACAAATATAGCAAGTCTGGGTAGTAAGCAGGGTTTCTTTCAGCTCTATCTCCGGGAGGACTCCCCCCCCCCGCCCCCCGGGGAAAGGCAAGTGCCCCCCGGAGCAAAAATATGTCCAACAATAAATCAACTGGTTCTGCTGGCACTGCCCCCCCCCCCGCCACCGCCCCCGCCAATCTGAAGTGCCCCGAGGAAATTTCTGAAATAATCGCTGGTAGTAAGCCAGACGTGTTGAATTGAGCCAAATATAGCAAGTTATGAGAGATGCCTGAAATCTAGGAAATTTTATAACCGGTTACCATGGAGACCACAAAGTACCTTATATGGACTGCAGTGTGTTGTATCATGATTTGTTACGTCATTCCGGACTCAACTCGAGAGCAAGACTCCCTTGACCGGCATTCTGCACAGGAAGCGGGTCCTAGTCGATTGACCGCCGTGTCCTACATCAATTCATCTTTAGTGGGTGGCTCGAGTGTTCTTGGTGGCTCGAACAAAGATGACGACTGTTCTGGTGAAGGCGCTGTTTGGATCGATCGAGGGCGTCTCATCAGCCCAGAGAGGGGCCTCCCGATATTCGGAGGAGACCTCACATCATCAGCTGCTTGTCGATGTCAGGGGATCATATGCAACTGCTCGTACCAAGGATTCAAGAAAGTTCCAGATAACTTACCAACAAACGCCACGGACCTTGACCTGTCCTACAATAATATGACGTGTTTGCCGGATTGCGTTTTTTGCAGGTATTCACAGCTGCGTGTTTTAAATATCTCTAACAACGGACTCGTAACCGTGCAAGAAAACTCCTTTAAAAACCTGGCCAAATTAGTGTCTTTGAATTTACAACAAAACAAGATATTCTTCAACAATAATCCAAAATTCAAGGCGGTGTTCATGAATTTGCCTTCACTGACCTCTTTGCGCGTCGGAAAAAATAAAAATTTCTTCAAATACTTTTCACCTGATGAAATACTGGGGGGGCTGAAAAATCTTCAAGAACTATATATGGATGGGAATATTACGACGATGAAAAGGTTGCGAAATATGACGTCACTGCGTAAGTTAACCCTGGAAGGGCATACGCAGGGAACGTGTTTATTGAAAAAACTTGACGATGCATCCTTCATCAATTTGGCTCAACTGATACAACTTGACATCAATACTTGCCATATTCACAAAGTCGCAAACCGTGCCTTTCAACCCCTCCAACGCCTTAAGTATCTCAACCTCAGCTTCAACTTCTTCATCCGCGTCAAAGCGATGACTATGATCTTGTCGAGTTTGAAATATTCAGACATCACGACGCTAGCAATGAATTACATCAACCCGTTTTACTTACGGGGCGTGCTCATCACGACGAAAATTATTCAAAGTCTACCAGTAAAGTTGGAGCACCTTGAGGCTGCGGGCAACGGGTTTGAGCTGTTTGAACCTGGGAGTTTGAAGCATGTTCCTGAAAACCTCAGCTTCGTAGATTTGGGGAATAACCGTATTATTTACGGGCCATACTTGAGTGAATTGTATCTTCTCAAAAACCTACGCAACGTGACGCTCAGCGGTGACGCCGTCGTTCGACATCTCCCAAGAAGTTCCGACGTGCCGCACACGTTTACGTTATTTGAGAGGACGTCCTTTAATGATGATGACAACACCGTCAAAGACGGCGACGACAACGAGACGTCGCCCTTTAATGAAGATGACAGCAACGTCAAAGAGGACGATGACAACGATGCCAGCCCTGAGGATTTACCCTCACTGGATATCAGACTGCCACCGAACGTGCAGCATATCGAAATGGGTTCTTTGAGCTTACATTACATCTTCACAGCACTGCACGTTCACCCGAGCAACTGTTTGGAGAGTTTGACATTAAACGATAATATCTTCCCTGTTTTAAAGGGGCCGTTATCGGGTCTCGAGAAACTGAAATACCTTGACCTCAGATTCAACTCGATAAACGCTCTTCAAAGGCGTTTCTTCCAGAATTTGACGGGCTTGAAGGATCTGATGCTTGGCACCAACAAGCTGAGGGATTTCTTCGCCAATTACAAGGAAGGGTGGCATATATTTTACGACCTCAAGGGTCTGACCACCCTTGACCTTTCAAACAACGACCTGACCTTCGTTAATGACGAGATCTTCGAAAGCCTTGAAAACTTACAGAGTTTATACATGGAACACAGCAGCATGTGGCAGTTCCACGTCAACATTTCTCACATGAAAGACTTGAGGCTGGTCAACCTCAGCCACTCCCAGCTAAGCAGTCTCCCTAAACACGTTCAAAACGACATCGACCTCTCCTGTAGGAAAGCATCCCACCCAATTTTCATCGACCTGTCCTTCAACCCGCTTCAGTGCGACTGTGACCATCTGGATTTCCTGACGTGGATGGTAAAATCTTGCGGCTTCGACCGAAACTTCACCAACTACATGTGCAAGTACCCCGATGAGTCCACCAGGACGATAAACGACTCCTATCGCGCCGATCTGATGACGCTGAACAGAACATGCGCCGAGAACGTCCCCTTGTTCTTAGCTGTTCTGGCCGCGACGGTGGGCATGCTTGGGTTTGTGGTAGCCGGTATACTGTACAGGTGAGACGCTGGGTTATTAGGACGGATCAGAAAAAAAAAACTGTGGTGAGAAGTTATAAAAATTTTTTGTGATAGAAAACTGTGATATTATTTTTTTTAAAAATTCACATTTGATGATGCTTAAATATATTTGTATTTATATATATATGAATTCAAAATGTGATACTTTACAAAAAAAAAAAAAAAAAAAAAACAAAAAAAAACAGCAACAAATATATCGTTTTGAATTCTGGCAAATATTTAATCTGGAAAAAAATTATACTTAACTCCTTCACTAGTTACAATTAAACATAAATTGCCATGTGCCAATTTGGTTCCTCCCATGACGATCCTCATAATGTGCCCACGATGGTTCTCACAATCTTTCCGATGAACTTTACACCCTCACCCCCCCCCCCCCCCCCCCCCCACAGGTACCGGTGGAAGATCCGGTATTTCTACTACGCCGCGTACATCAAGCTCAAGGACAAACATGCGCCACGTGACGCAGACACCTTCAGGTACGACGTCTTCATTTCATACGCGGTGACAGACGAGGCTTTCATCATGACTGACGTCTCTCCAGGTAAAACTTTCAAACGAGGGGCTCTCATTATCAGTTACTTCTCTCGAGGTAACAAACCATTTTTGAATTGTTACCGGTACTGATTTGTGTCGTATTTAATTGTAAGATGACTCTTGAATGATGCATCATTGCTTTCTGTGGAAAAAAAATTATTTGACAAAACGTTTAACGATGTAAGAGGCCTAAAATTGTTTCCATATTTCATAAACCGAATCCGCTTTCATCTATTTCTTACACTCTATGTACAGCTTAGCTCAAATTTAAGGCTTTTGGTTTCGCATACTAAAGGTTGTATTGTATTCAGTTGATATACAGTTGACACGGGGTAAAGTTACGGGAGGCATGTTATATTAGGTTTAAAAGTTCAGTAATACCATTTACCATTACTTCTGAGGGAGCCAGTATTTAATGTTGTACAATAATAATAATAATAATTTGGGTCTGAAACTATTGTATGGCGTCCAATACTAGTAATAATATTGGTTTAGAAACATTACATTGTGTTTAAAAAGTCCGGATGAAGTCTGAGTCTACTTTAATTGGCTCAGAGAAGTTAGGGCACCGTTCACTATTCCTGCTGTTTCGAAAGACAGTCCGGGCCGCGGAGCAGCACGCAAGAAAGGCATACAACAAACACGAACGGTCGGTCCATACGGTTCTCAAACTAGACTAGTGTACATCAGTTTTCTTTGATACATCAGCGCATTTATGAATGTTTAATTGCCACAAGGAATTCTTACTGTACACGGTGGGTGTTTCCACAGAGTTGTCGGCCCGCGGGCTTAAGCTTCTGGTCCACGGACGAGACTTTGTCGTTGGAGATTTCATCGCTTCCAACATCGTGACGGCCGTCAAGGAGAGCCGGAGGACGTTAGTGGTTCTCACACGGAACTTGTTGGCCAGTACCTGGTGTAACTATGAGCTACAGGTAATTCAAATTTTTGAAAGCTTTTTTCATTTCAAGTTGAAGATTAGTTTCTAAAGGAGTAGCTGTACTGGTAAGAGCCGATGTCTGACATAACGACAAGTTAAATGCTGTCTACAGACTTTGGAGGTTGGTGTTTACTACTCAGTGTTTATCTTCTCCGAGTGGGTGCCACTTGATGTTGACGCCCTTAATAAACAAAGAGAGTGGGTACCACTTGAATTCAACGCCGCTGATTAACCGCAAGATTTGGGAATACTTGGTTTTATGAAATCCCTGAATAACCACAAGATTTGGGAATACTTGGTTTATGAAATCCCTGAATAACCACAAGTTTTGGGAATACTTGGTTTATAAAATCCCTGAATAACCACAAGATTTGGGAATACTTGGTTTATGAAATCCCTGAATAACCACAAGATTTGGGAATACTTGGTTTATAAAATCCCTGAATAACCACAAGTTTTGGGAATACTTGGTTTTTAAAATCCCTGAATAACCACAAGATTTGGGAATACTTGGTTTATGAAATCCCTGAATAACCACAAGTTTTGGGAATACTTGGTTTATGAAATCCCTGAATAACCACAAGATTTGGGAATACTTGGTTTATGAAATCCCTGAATAACCACAAGTTTTGGGAATACTTGGTTTATGAAATCCCTGAATAACCACAAGATTTGGGAATACTTGGTTTATGAAATCCCTGAATAACCACAAGATTTGGGAATACTTGGTTTATAAAATCCCTGAATAACCACACGTTTTGGGAATACTTGGTTTATAAAATCCCTGAATAACCACAAGTTTTGGGAATACTTGGTTTATAAAATCCCTGAATAACCACAAGTTTTGGGAATACTTGGTTTATGAAATCCCTGAATAACCACAAGAGTGTGCCAAACACTAGGAGCCAGAACACTTCATAATATAAAGTCAATTCTGTTCATCGTTAATCTTAATACTGGTCAAGACATCCATGGAATGTTGTACACAAACCATAGAGTGGCTCTGCTAGGTATCGCTCAGGAGGTTGGGGAACTACCACCCTGCCCCTTGAGAAAGTCAACAGCGCCCCTCTCCCAAGGGGGGGGGGAGACAAATGTGTCCAGCAGCACCTCTTGGTCACTGTATATCAACTCACTGTATCCTAGCTCACACACCTTTTATTCTCAAACGCTTGTGTATTATGCTTCTCCTTTCAGCCAATCACAGTTAATAATACCCCCCAAGCTCAAAACTCACGGTAAGGGTTCGTTCGCGAATTACGTCAAGCAAAAAAATGATTTTTTTCAGACCCCACCCCTGTCACAAAGTGTTACAAATTCTATACCCCCCCCCCCATTAGTGTCACGTGACACCTGAAAATTTTCAAAACATACATACAATTTTGATAACTAAACTAACATTTTATTGTTTTCTTTAACATTTGACCACAATGGATTAAGAAGTTGTATTATTAGAAAACTGTGTCGTAAAACCCAAGACAACAAAGTACTCCCCGAGCCGAATGTTTTTGCGTAATTTTTCGATATGTCCAGAAGGTGTGTGCGACTGAGTTTTACGGTACTTATTATACCTGAGGCAATTTTGGCCTCAAATTATTGTTTTTAAAATTAATTGAATAAAGATTTTTCAAAATTAGACAATGTTAGATTTTTTTTTAATTTGTGACGTCACAAATTTTTTAGCCGCCCCCCCCCCTCCCGTTATAAAGAGTCACACCTTCTCGCCCCCGCCCCCTGAGCGTGACGTAATTTGCAAAAGACCCCTAACAACACAATGAGCCACAACTATTCCCCTTACGCTGACAACTGGCGGTAACAACAAGTTCACAATAACGACATTGGCTCTCCTGCCATTGATAATTCTTTTGTAACCTTCCATTGGATTGAATTAAGAATAACAGAGTTTAAACCAAAAAAAAAAAAAAAAAAAAAAATAAATCTCCCATTGAAGGTAATTATACTTTTTTTCTTTCTATTCCCAGATGGCCAACATGGAGTCCATCCACACTGGGAGACCCGTGCTCGTTTTCTTACTAAAAGAATCAATTCCTAACAATGAACTGGGTACAGACTTGCTGTACCACATACGGAGTAATACGTACATTTTGTACCCACAAGACGGAGAAGATGAGATGCAGGGAAACGTCTTTTGGGACAAACTTGCTAGAGATTTGAACCACTGAAACCGTTATGTTTGCAACACGATCTGGGCAATGATCACAGTTGGGACCATTGACGAGAGATGCAGTTAAAACATCGCATGGACGTTGAATAGACAAGATGACCAGGGCTTAACCAGGGGAATTTTTTTGTACACCTGGTCCGGGTATATTGCTAAAATACCCGGTGGTTCCAAATGTTACAGAAAGGAAAGTTAACTTCTAATTTTCTATAGCTCAAGCCAGTCTTTAAACAATAGGCATACATACAGCCATACACCTTAGCAGCCAGTCTATATACAAATAGTCCCTACAGATAGTCTTACAGTCGGACAGAGTCTACACCACACCCGTGGCTCTTTGGTCATTACTATAAAGGTCGCCTCGGAACAAAATGTCAACCTCCTCACCTGGGTTCAAGCGTGACGCATCACGCTGTCTGCTTGACAGCTTTTTGGTCTGTTCACCCAGAACCATTCATTATAAAACATGTTGAATAGGGTAAGGCCGGTTTCTATAAGGAAGCCGCCACACCAGAAGCAAAACTATTCATGCCAGATTGAAAACTAGTTCATTGGTTTCTTTTAATTTTTGAAAACAATCATTATAGATGACATTTTCAGCTTATTCGATTTAACAGGTTAAATAAGATTCTAGAACTTTTATAATATTACGTATCCCTTCTAAATTATCATCTTAGTTCATTGAAATTGCAGAAGTGGTAAGGGCAATAATTTATCAAGCGATACAAAATTTAACCAAACGTTCATTGTAGAGATGTGGCTGACGTCATCATCATTTAAAACTAGAGACACGTGGCAATGCCCAATGCTAACTCTCGATAAGTCTCTCTCAATGAAAAATCTTTATCAATGATAAGTCTCTCTCAATGATAAGTCTCTTTCAATGATTAGTCTCTCTTAATGATAAGTCTCTCACAATGATAAGTCTCTATCAATGATAGTCTCTCTCAATGATAAGTCTCTCTAAATGATAAGTCTCTCTACATGATAGTCTCTCTCAATAAGTCTCTCTCAATGATAAATCTCTCTCAATGATAAGTCTCTCTCAATGATAAGTCTCTTTCAATGATAAGTCTCTTTCAATGATTAGTCTCTCTTAATGATAAGTCTCTCACAATGATAAGTCTCTATCAATGATAGTCTCTCTCAATGATAAGTCTCTCTAAATGATACGTCTCTCTACATGATAGTCTCTCTCAATAAGTCTCTCTCAATGATAAATCTCTCTCAATGATAAGTCTCTCTCAATGTTAAATCTCGCTCAGTTTGTAAGGCAAGGACGTATCTCTACATTTTGCGAATAGACCTCTTCAGTGTGGCAAATGTGGTTTTTTCCAATACAAATATATATTTTTAAAGTTAATAATTGTACAATTAAAATTATACTTAAAGTATGAGAATTTATCCAGTTTTAATTGCATTCTAAATTATGCATTCAGTTAGTCAAGTAAGCAGTCGTATAGGCATATATGTGCTAAGTGCAATTGTGTATATTGGGCTTCGTGAAGTTGTATATATGTGCTAAATGCAGTTGTGTATATGGGTTTAGTGAAGTTGTATATATGTGCTAAGTGCAGTTGTGTATATGGGTTTAGTGAAGTTGTATATATGTGCTAAGTGCCGTTGTGTATATGAGTTTAGTGAAGTTGTACATATGTGCTAAGTGCAGTTGTGTATATGGGTTTAGTGAAGTTGCATATATGTGCTAAGTGCAGTTGTGTATATGGGTTTAGTGAAGTTGTATATATGTGCTAAGCGCAGTTGTGTATATGGGCTTCGTGAAGTTGTATATATGTGCTTAGCTACTTAATTGTAAGATATATTAAAAACGTGTCCATTGACTGCTGCATTTTACAAAAATTACATTTCTGT